GTTTAAAAATAAACGATCAGCCATGTCTACAGAAAATAATTTTCGATTTTTTCAAAATTTGAAATTCAAACATTCATTAATGTCTGTTTTGCTAAATTAATTTTAAGGAAACTTATGACAAATTTATTAGTAACTTATTTTAATCTATTGCTGAATGGGTAGAAGTAAGAGAAGAAAAGTTTGTGTGATTAGAACAGTTATGAACTTATAATTCACCAGTCCCCAAATATGAATTTTAAAATTAAATTTGATTTAAAAATTATAAAATGTATCCTATTACAATAAAAACATTCTTTTTTTATAATGTTTTACGTTTTTGTTCGAAAATCACTTTATTTTGATTTTTTGACATTTTCCCTCCAATAAAATTTATGTTTGTAAATAGAGCAAGTGTGATGTGAAAATTTTAAAATTAATCGTAAAAATCCACATTGGAGTTTTGATGTTTTCAAAAAAATGTAGAAAATATTATTTTTGATGTTAGAAACTGAACAAAGTGAAAAATTAAAAATATATAAATATATCTTTGATACTTGATAGTAAACCAGCGTTAATCATCCAAATTTTCTTTAATGACGCAATAATTTTTAGAAACAAAAAAATGTAAATATTCATATTTTAAAGGCGAGTGGGTCTAGTAACATACAGTTTAAATATGATGCATTCGTAAATTATTTTTATATAGTATTTTTACACTATTTGGAGTTTGTTATTCGACTCTTATAGTTGGGTAGGAGAGTGACTCTTGTAATGTTTAATGGGCTATACGGATTTTTTTTTATACAATAATATAATTATAAAATCAAATTATTATTGAAGCATATAAACAATAAAATATTCAATGAATTATCATTTTGTATCACATAAAATGTATGCAAATGGAAATTCTTTTAAAATTTTATTGCTATTAAAAATATGGACACAAGAAAAATATACTATTGCAAATGCAAATAATTATATATTATTCATCAATAAATTGATACTACTGTGTTCTAACTCGTGTGTATTGTTAATTGTTTTTAATTATTATTAAACATGTATCATTTTCTACAACATATTTTCATTAATTTATGTAATTTTAATCTAAAAAATATACGGCGAGTGCACACGAATATCATCAATATTTATTATTTATTTTTAATTCGAATGCAAACATTTTTCTATATTACTTGTTAACATAACAATAATATTTTACGCATCAATAATCAAATACCTTAATGCAATATTGTTTGAATACAGCTTACTAAAACCTGTCCATGCCTAATGTTAAGTCATTAGCTCAATAAATATCCCAAGGTCATTTTTTAAATAAATTGCATCTTAAGAGATACATGGGAGTTAGGTTAATTTTATTTATTGGTTAATTATTATAATTTTATATCTATAATATCATCTATGTGTATTGTATACACATACTATTTTTTAAATATACGTATAGAATAATAATAGAAGCTAATAATATTATACTATGAAAGTATGAAGTATAAACGATTCAAAAGCTGTACATAAAATTATATCTTGTACTGTTTAACATAAATATATTTGAAAATTTAAAATAAGTACAAATGAAAAAAAAATTGTATACTTTTTCACAAAATTAAAAATGTAATACAAAAACATCATGACAAAATTACCCATTAAATTGTTGTCTGTGGAATTAAATTAAAATATTTAGTCAAAATATTAGACAAATACACAATATATATGTCATAAATATGCACTTTTCTTATAATACATTGTATGTCTATAATCTGTATCTATTATATTGTTATGAAGTTATGATTGCATATGAATAAAAATATAGGTTATGCGAAATTGCATTTAATCAAAAGGTAAGCTAAATAAAAAAAAAAAAAAATAACATATTAATCACCATTATTTTAAAACGTGTTTTATTAAAATTCTATACGTCATAATTTAATGGGCATATGGCTAATGTACGAGTTATAACATAAATCATCATCAGTAGACATTTACATAGGTAACTTACTTTTAGATTAAATCGAAAGCAGTAATTAATATTAATTTACAAAAAATCGTACCAAAGTGGTGTCTTAAATAATTATTTCACATTTTATAAACATATATTTAACATCCATTAGAATTAAAATATGAATAGTATTATAGTGTATAATTCAACTAAATGCAACAACGTATATAATATAATTATTATTATTTTTATTTTTGAGTAATTGGCTTCTTCATTATACACAACAGCGACGAGAATTCACATTATATTCTTAGTCACATGTGATTTATAAAATATTAAATTTACTCATATAGTAGTTAAATTTAATTATTTCTGACAACAGTGACAACCATTACTGTTGAGCAAAATTGAATACATTTGACGATTTTTTTTATTTTCATCAATAACATAAAATATTATATTCACAACACTTCTTTAAAAAGTATCTACTCTGGAATAAGGGTATACTTTAAGAGTACCTCACACATTTTATAACTTCTTTATAAGTATTTAAATCTAAGTCAACTTTTTTTTTTTATTCTTAAACATAAATAAAACATATATCTTAATAATTTTAACATTAAATAGAAATTAAATTAAACCACAAAATCGACTTAAAATGTAATAAATACACTAATAATGATAAGATGACAAATAGAGGTACAACACTTTTTATGTTAATCAGTGGTATAATTGTAGAAATGCATGGAGGTACACATAATATGACCCCTTGAATTCTGATATGATATTTTACTGTTTATTCAAGCTTTTCAAGCTTCTCACCATCCATATTTTGTCAACAGAACATAGTGAGACATTATATATGTTATTCGTAAATATTTTAAATTATAATATTTTCTTCCAAAAATCTTTTGACTAAAAATATACAAAAAAATATGTTAAAATTGAATACATGAAATTGATTTCAACACTATTTAAAATATATCTACCACGTATAATAATTGATTTATTCAGTTTCTTATTTTATTTGTTTTGTTAATTGATAGGTTGAGTTTGAGAGTGTAGATGTTCTCATTAAAATACTTAACTGTTATTAATATTTATTATTATTAATAAAGTGCATAATGTACAATAACTATTGTTTTTCAAAAATATAGCCTCAAAATATGCATAGCATAAATTAAAACAATTATTTTTCCAATATGCCATTGAAACACTTGGTTATTTAGTATATAGTTTATTTTAACTATATATTTTATTTTTAATCGTTTAATTAACAATATTAAATCATACCAGAAGTTCAATGACATATTCTAAACGATAAAATAAAATAAATTAAATGTTTATAGGTTTATTTTATTTTTCACAGTCAATATAATATTATCTAGGGTAGATAACTAATATTTTAATTGAATTTATGAAAAAATTCAAGTGTTTTACCCGAAATGCAAAATATATGCAATATTATTATTATTTGAAAATCAGTCAAATTTAAGAGATCAAGGATATTTTTGAAACTATCATACAAATAAAATAAAAATAAAAATTACTAGAATCAAATATTTTAAATATTTCTGTTTACATCTTAAAATGTGTAAAAAGTGAAATAATTAAATATTGTTACACTAAATAGATTTTAATGAGTAAAGAATATTATTATAGACTATGATTCAAAAATAAAAACACATAGGTACAAACTTTATCAATAATAATTATTATTTTTATTCAAAATATCCATATTATATATTGTGATATAATATAATATTTTATTTATTTATAGACATTTAAAATTATTATTTTCATATTTTAAATCTAAAACATAAAAATAACATTAAAAAAAATGTGTTTATAATACGTTCTGTTAAATTTTTAAAGATATGCAGGTTATTAAAATAGAGCAATTTGGAATTTAAAAAATCCCACATCTAATACAAAATAAACTTATTATATTTTCGCAACGAATCAAAAATCAATTATTGATTTAAAATTTAAATACATTTAAAAACTCAATAAAACTTAATAAGGTACCTATTCTGTATTAATTTAATACATTGTGTTGAGTTAAAGAAAGACATGATACTGAGGGAAGGGGAGACATTTTTATTTAAATTTTTAAAGGGAAACATTTTTGGTAGGAGTTTTTTCACGCACATAACGTGATGGTTATATTATCATAAGGATAACTATGATAATATTCTATAACAATTAAGTATAGCATGAGTATCCGTAAGTCTAGTGGGCGGAGTGGTGTCTATTCAATGCGTGGCATTTCAAAGTCCCATTTGTTCTGAAGTATAAGTAGCAATGGAATGTCCAATTCTACATATCATATTTAACTTGCAGTGATCTTAAAAAATACGTTTGGTATTAGCTAGTCGAGTATTTATTTAAGTATATGCGTAATTTTATTCACGTATGTGTATAATACAGTGTGATTTATTTTAAACAATCACTCGTCATTTAAAAATACCTAATGTTATTTTGTACGTATTTTATGAATTATTCTGTGGATAGTACAGCATTTTTGATCGTTTATAATATTATATTTTTGTTCTTTATCTTCTCGCCGAATTTTGCATTTTTTGTTATTGTTGATGATAGCCGGTAGTCAGTACATACCGTAAATAAATGTAAATCTAGTAGATTTATTTTATATATAATATATATAATTACGAGTGGCGCGTTTAAATAAATAAAAAAAAACCACCCTGTATATAACTTATACTCACACGTTATTACGTTATCAAGACGAATATTTTATATTTATAAGTCCCGTTAAAAAAACAACAACAACAAATACGTTTATATAAAAATATAACGTAAGTAATAATAAAACATAATGGTCAACGAGAACAATAATGTCGTCCGTTTGTTTTGTACACGTCTGCTACAGTTAATAATTATAGGTAGATATTATAATATTGTGGAAATTTTAATTCGGCGAGACGTCTCTGTGCTCTGCACAATATTTACGGTATGGTCAGTACCGGATCTACGTAAGTATTGGAAGGCCGGAGTAAAACAACTAATATTGGAGGTCCGTAAAAATGGAAAAAAAAAATCACAGACATTTGATGCGCGTTATGTATTTATTTTTTTGCGTTTGAAAAAAGTGAAGACGGGTTTAAAAGAAAAAAAAATTCAAATATAAGTAGAATCTCACGGCTCGTGTACTTCTTTAAATCGAGTCACGTTATTAGGGTCCATTTAACAGCTTAAAATAGACGCGGGTTCGGGTAATTTTTCAAAATACATTTTACTCGACCATTATTCAATATTTTTAATCGTTTATCGCTTTAGAAATTGTCAAAAAATCTAGGATCAACCCGAGGCTCCTAAAACAAACTCGGCCTCTAGGCTACGGCGCGTTGCACTCGCTGCACCTCCGCTAAATCCAGCACTGGGTACGTTGCTGCAGACGATGACGATGATTGACGACAACGGCGGCGGTTGATGGGGGGTGGCTGCAAGTGCAGGGACGCGATGAACATCTTCGAATTAGCGAGGGGGGAGGGCGAGGAGCACACGATTATTGGTCATTTGGATCGCGGACACGAATCCTGGTCGACGGCATGGCAACGACTTGTGCGACGGCTGCGACGGCGGCAGTGTGCTACTTGCCGGACGCGGCTCCGATCTGTCGTCATGAAGAACGGTTGGCGGTCCGTCGCCGTTTTCCGGTCAGTTGCAGCCGCCACTCCAGCCAGCCGTACAGCACCACGGCCACCACCAGGACAGCCGACAGGCAGTACAGTTTGGTGGTGTTGCACACGGCGCTGTGCATCCAGAACGCCAGCGCCATACCCATGTACCGGAAGAAGTAGCCGTGCGCCATCGGTCCGTGCCAGTAGTCCGGATACAGAGATATCACGAAGTCTGCAACGAAATGATATTCTATAAATATGTTGTACACCAGTTGGACAATAGTGTGTATAAATATTTGTTTATAGTACAAATTCAACGTAAGATTAACAACTATTATCGTGTGAATAATAAAAATAGCATTACAACTTTTCAATGTCAACGGCTTATAATTCAAAATTCAAACAAAAACGTCGAAGTCATTAGATTCACTATCAAATTTAAAGTCGAAATCATCAAGATTTTTAAAAGTTTAAAGCATATAAATTTTGGTTTCATTTACACTATATGATTAGGAGTGAAATAACTTGTACGTAAATGGTAATTTTAGATTGGTGATGTGGCGCTACGATGCGAGTTTTATTTACTAATATACTTATCATGCAAATATTTTCTATTTTATTTATCAAGTTCCACCTTTAAAATATGGTAATGTTATGCATAGACGAAAATGTAATATAATTTCTAGGGAATTGAGATATTGCATAAATTTAAATCTCAATCAAAGCAATCTAAAATTGTATGTACACTTATATACATATATAATAAATATATGCAATATAATATGCCATTGTCTTCTGACATTTAATTTTGTAGACAAAACAGCAATCGACCTATAGATATTGTCTGCAGTTATCAAGGTGTGTCAAGTTATAATCAAAGATTTTTATAGTATAACTATTACAGTGATTTTATAACTTCTTACAACATTAAAGTGATCCACCAACCATGCCCATCCCTATTTTCCCCTTAAATAATGAATTTATTCAAATTTTAGTTTTTGGAATTTTCAAAATATATACTTTAAGGCCGTCTTTAAAGTATATAAATTTTTATATTGTTTAAGAAGTAGGTAGATATCAATGGTAATATTAACATTATTATTTTTCAAATGAGCGCCATTCTTTATCCAATAAATTGTTTATGAGATAGTTTTTGGAAATTTTAATGTATAAAATCAAAATTCCATTGTGCAGTTTTTGAGTTATTTAATTTTGTGCACTAAAGATAAGAGGTCCGTAATATTATATTTTAACTATGATAATTCAAAAACTATATAAATTATTTGTAATATTACCTATCTACTAAAATTTTATAATTTATAACAATTATTGGAGTATAATAGATATCAAATTTAATATTACATACATTTTAATGCTTACGTAAAAAAAATTATAAGTACAATTATCTTTAACTAGCTGAATAACCTGGTTTTTCCCATGTGAAATTTTTTTGTGTTACCTAACCTAACCTAGGGATTAAATTTTGAAAAATCCTTTCTTATTAGGTGTCTACATTACAAAATAAAACTACTTTCCAAATTTTATACTCATAGCTTCAGCGGTTCGGGTTTGGCGATAATGAATCACTCAGGACGAGTTATTTTATATATATATATATACATTTTAATAACTTAGAAACTGCGAAACGTCCTAATTTCGTTTTAGATATCTAAAATTATATATTTTTAAGAAAAAAATGGAATAAAAAATGTTTGATATATCATTATATTTATTAGTAAACTAATATTTTAACTTTACAAAAAAAAGCGTTGAAAAATATTATCAAGACATTTTATTGCTCAGTATCCATAAATAAAAGCTGGAAATTATTTATTGTAAGATAATTGAATATAATCATTAACAAATTCATCTATTACGGTTTGGCCAAAATCCTTAAATCATTAATGCAATAAATAAAATAAAAATAAATAAAGATCACAAGGAAACAAACATATTACTTTTGCGATAAAAAATAATATTTTATTTTTTACTTTTAGTTTTTATACACATTAAAAAATGTTTTTTATACCTATTTAAAAACATTTATCAAATCAATTATTTTGCCGAATTTTTATGATAAGATATATGAAGTTTCAACTTTAACAATATATTATACATTTTTTGTTTAAATTTTATTTTAAATTGAATTAAGCAAATATGTTTTTAAACTAAACTTATCAGGTATAGTTTTGATAAATTGCATAAAAATAATATGATTGTTTTAAAATATTTACTTTTTTATAATTACGTGATTAAATAATATATATTATTTATATTATACAAGTAGTATACTTTAATGTAATATAATATACTATAATCTGACCTCATATTATATAATTCTGTCTCTAGAAATGAAAAATAAACACACCAAGTCTTTCCCATTCAACACTTAAAACATGACGGCCATGGTCAAAGCCAATAAGTTCCGGCGCTGCAATCGATATAGTTCTAAGTCTTGAACAGAAACGTTTTTTTTTCTGATTGTGTCAAATTGGCCTCACCTTATAAAATCGATTTTAATTTCGTATTTTAATATTATTTACAGACCACTCTGTGTGTATTATATCATACACATATACACAATTTGGATACAACTATGTTTTCTTTTTCTAGATCTTATCTACTGCATAGAGTGATGGTATATTTAGCTGATGTAACATTAAATAGGCATGTAGCTTCTAGCTACCTACTCGACTTTGTAATCATTTTACTTAACTAGTTATCGACAAAAGAAGTTTAATGATTGTAAACCCTTTATTAGAAGCCTAGAATATAAATAACTATAAGTGAGGTCATTGTTAATTTAAACAACAAATGAGTATCTAGAATCCAGATACATATCTATTTAATATCAACGTATGTGTTGAATTATGAAATATGTTAAATATATAGATATCATTATATAATGAAATAAGTATAAATTCAATGTTTATAAAACAAAATATATGAAGGAATTTACTTGTCCTTGAAAAAATGTATATTGTACTTAATATTGTTTTTTAAATGAACTCCCGGTAGAAACATAATATTATGATTTATTAAAAAACTTTAGAAGTTGTGGTGTTGTAAATGCGCTCAGTACTAAAACACTACTTTACTTAATAAGTGGTAATCATAAAGAAAATAATGTTTATTATAAATTATATGTTTAAAAGTCAAATTTTTTTCAAAATATTTTTGTAAACATATTTGTAAATAATACGATTATTAATAATACCGAATTCAAATATATTTCTTCTAGTCTCTAGTGGCTAAAAAAATTATTACATCAGATAGAGTTTTTGAAAATAATATATTATGACTTATTTAAAGATAAAAAAATATAAACATAAATGGTAATTTTTTTAGTTTAATATTTAATATCAATATAATGATTTTTTTAATTCTAAAGAAATTGGAAGTCATCGAATGAAATTATAATATATATATTAAATATATAATATTAATTATGATGCATATTTATCTGAATCAATCGATATATTATCAATATTATCATCATTCCTTCATGTTATATAATATGTTATTGAAATTTATTATCCAGGTATCTACACCTAATTCAATATAATTACTATGACGATAATAAAATTTGCAATAGTTTGAGTTTTCTTGTACTAAATTATATAATATATGAGTAGAGTAGTATTTATATACCTAGTATATTATATAGGTACTGCTATTATGTTGTATATATCATATATAATTCAAATAGGTAAAAACATTCGAAATTTCTCTAATTTTGTTTTGATAAACAATAATGATAATAATTAATAAAACAAAATGATAAATTTAATTATAAAATGTGTAGATGTTTAGCAAGATAATCAATAATATATCCATTATATATATATATATATATTGATACTTACTGAAACATAATGTGTTCCAAATGGCATTGCATACGCCCCAGGCGGCTGCTATGACGTACAATAGCGCAGCATCGTCACCGGACGGTTTCCACTTCATCAACACCATTAACAAACATGAATGAAACGCTAACCCAATCACTGAAAAACGACAGTGCTAATGATAATTATAGCCATTTCGCAAAAACATTAACGAGAACCAACTTGGGTCGGTCACTTAAATATATGTTTTAATAATGATACATCTATACCTTAGGTAAGTAGGTAGGTGTGTATATTGTAAAAATAATGTGTAAATACCTATTATATGGTACCGGCGGATGTGTTGCAGAATCAGACTCACGGTAAAACCGGCTACCAATTGTAGCAGTCCCAAGCTCAGCAGAACTGTGGGTACATTGGACACACCCACGGAACACACGACGTAAAACTATAATTATGACAATAAACTATTGATTATTATTTCATATTATCTTATTTATGTTTATGATACATATCACTATGTTATTACGAAAATTCAGTTTATCAATTATTATATACATAGCTGGTATATATCAATTACCTAAATTCATATAAATGTTTATAATTATGTATTGGATTGAAGATTAAACGGTACATAATAAATACAAATAATACTATGGCGATAGAACTATGCTTCCGCACTTCAAATTTAGTACGTTCACCACTATACGACTGTCGATGGTTGTTAACTCTACTTTTGTTCAAATGGCCATATATTTTTTTTTTTTTGGCACTGTTATAATACAGATATAATAAATACCTTGGCGTTAAAGTAATCATTGCAATAATTAGAATGGTTTTTCCTATTCTGAAATATTTCAATTATTACTAATTCAAATAAAAAGTTATACTTATGTTAACATAATTAATAAATTATAACATAGCATTTTAGCTATTATTATTTGTATTCATAAAAAATAATTATAATTATATTAATTAAAAAAAACTGAAAATCTAAAAAAATAAAACAAAACTTAACCATTTTCAAAAAAAAAAAAAAATGAAACGTGATGTATGGACGCCGGCGAACGTGTGGAAAATAAAGTGTTTTATTATCAACTATCAAGGCACCATGTAACCGCCGGCTACAATACATTAATTATTGTGGTCATAATTTTATTTAGACCGTATCGCTGATTTTATTGGTATTAAAATTTTATTTATAGCAATATTGGATCTAAAAATATCTTTGTAAGAACTCATATAAATATGTCTGGCGTATAACAAAAACCTATTGTATGACCGCCGGCGGTCGTAAGGCGGTTAACGTGTTAAAATCTTTTTTTTATCCAACAAAATAATGTATTTAAATAATTATACTACTAATATAGGAAAAGTTTAGAATACCTAGAACATTAAAGTTCTATAAAAACTAGTTATTATTTACTGATAATCAATGCAAATTTATGCATTGAAATGCATTCAATGCAAGTTAAACTGATTTTTTGTATAAATATTTTAATAGTATATGTATTGCACACTTTAAAATATATGTAGTATACGTATACCAATATACCATAGTTTAAAAACTTGGTTTTAATAAATATCCAAAGAAAACGTTCATTTTTTTTCATCGCGTCAATGTTATTTTATAAATTTGTAATGCAATGTGTGTTTTAAAATATAGTATATTACTTTATAGCATGTAAATAAATTATGGCGTAATGAAAAACTATAGTAAAACAAATAACAATTAATGGCTTTATGATTGTTTCACAATAATAATGATAGTATAATGTTTTAATTAATATATTATTGTTATCACTGGTTAATTCGTATTTTAATAATTACTTGTTACGCGCATTTATATTTCAACACCTTCCTCTACGTGGTAACGATTTTAATTTATTTTTCATCTGTTGAAATATAAAATATTTTTTTTATTTATTCAGTTTAATAATATAAAATAATATTTGTGTAACTTCCAGTTTTTATTTTTACGTATACCTATATAATATTATTACCTATTGTATTAATAAAACAACATTATACTTTATTGTATACCTGACCTACATTTTCTAGTATCGATGATTTATATATTTTAAATTACAAACAAATAACTAAAACCTTTTTTTTCTTTTAAATATCAAATTTCATTAAAATTAAAACTTTAAAAGTTTATATAATAAAAAAAAAAAAATTATGTGGTAAAAACTTATAAAGAACCTTGTATTAAATTTCAAAACTTTTGACGTAGAAATTTCAACATAATACTAGAAAAAATTCACCGTCAACATGCATCGGTAACGAATCACTTTCCCGAACATTTTCCATCCACAAAGCATTCAAATGTCACACGCAGACGTACATGAATATGAAACGCGTCTCTACATACTTGATAATTAATATAATATATTTTAAAGATATTGCCGCGTGTCGAAAACTTCCCTCCACGTAAAATAATCGTGTATCGCGTGTTCACACGTAATATTAATGTGGTTTACCGCAATATTATCGTTATAAAAATATTATGTAATACATTTTGTAAATATCGTGCAGTAGTCTTACATTTGCATTGAGTCTTTAGCTGCAGAGACCTTAAAATATAACTAAGATTTATCGAAATTATAAAACAAATTTACGATTGTTATAGTTTTGAAAATTATTAAGGCTTTGGTTTCGGTTTATATAAATAATACTCTTATTACACTGTGGATTTGTAGTACTATAGAGTAAATTTTTTACATCTTTAATGTTTATTTTAGTAGTACATATTGTACAAAACATTCATAAATTTGTATTTTGTTATGAAATATTTTTTGTTAAATTGTCGAAACAATAATTTAACATTGTATTTTAAAACGAGAAATGAGTAATGACTGAAGTATATTTTGTTGTTTCAAGCAAAGAACTAGTAAAAATAAAATTGTATCGAAGTAAAAAACACCAGTTTATCATGATTTTTACGATAGGAAAGTTTCAATGAGTTGAAAAAGGTAACGATTTCAATACCGATTGGATTTCATTCCCTAGTGGCTATGGAAAGCATATATTACTAAGCCATCAACTATGCTCGACCGAAACCCAAATCTGTATAAGTTAGCGTATTTAATTTATTATTTTTCGAATTAATTGGAAAAATCTAAATTGTTATTATAAGTTACTTAATTTGTTTATTAAGTTAGTTATAAAATTAACTAGTTGGTTAAGTTAAAATATTAAAACAAAATAAAAATTAATATACCTATTTATATATAATTATAAAAAAATTAAAAACTTACATGAAAAAATTAGTAAAATTGTATTTTAGTTTAATATTAAATATATTTAAATTTTGTAAGCTATTTTAAATTATAAAATTTTCCGGTTACTTAGTATCAATAAGACGATTTTCTTGCTGAATATATTTCTGTTACTTATTGGTTTAATATTATATTCATTTAAAAAATATCAATGCATAATCATTTCGTTTTAAACGTAAATTGTATCGTTAAAAGTTTGAATAATGAAGAATATGCGCCTTATCACATTATTATAACAGTAAGCTAATTTTAAATGTTCGCATTAATTAAAATTATATCTAATATTTTCATTTTTTTTAGTGACAATTCTTGTGAAAATCTAAAGAGAATATGCTGAAACACCACAACTTATTAAAAATATTAAAAATAGATATAGCAGCTGACAGTAATATCATTACGAAGTTTAAAAGTAATACGGTCATGATTCACATATTTCTGATTCGAAACCTAATGAAATTGATTAATTAATTAATTTCCGTTTTATAGTATTAGAAGTTTTTATTAGAACTTTCAAAGAACACGAAAGATGGAAAGATGGAATGCATGTAAACTCCACCACAAGTACATTTTTTTAGTATAAACTTCATCAGGGGAAAAAAACAGGTAAAATTGAGTTCATTGAAACTCCGCTAAAAATAAAATCAGGTAACAGTATACAATATTAATACGAATAAACTGGAAGGCATGAAGTAAAACGAATATCATTTGATGAATTTGTTGAAGTAATATTATGTTACTCCGTTTCAACAGTTTTAATAAATGCATCACAATTTTTGTTATTGCACCTCAATTTTGACACATGTCATCGCAACGGATATCAACGTATTTAATGTGAGAAGACCTTAATGCTGGCGAAGTTTCCATATACCTATTACAAATAAGAAAATAAAATACAGTATTTACATTAGATTCTTTCATAACCTTTTTATCTAATCAATATTCTGGCAGAGTTGACAATTTCTCCGGAAAATGTTATTGGAAAAGTATTATTGTGTAACGTTGTGTATATGTTTGACCGACCATAACGTGAGACAAGTAGACGTTTGGTCGTCGAGAGACTATACCGTTCAACAGAATAACACACGATTCCGCACAAATTTTGCAGTAAAATATACCATTTTTCCTATCCAATTCAATATATTTTCATAATACAAAAGGTTTCTTTCATTATATGACCAGAATATATTACAATTCTGTATAAAAAATGCTATAACATTATTAGTTATTGTAAAAAAATATACAATTATAATAATTGTATTAAATTTGATTTTGATAAAAATAAATCATTAAAAATTAGTCAATATACTTGATAAAGCAAATAATTTAAAATGAAATATATAAAAAATAAGATAGATATATGATAATATTTGATATATTAATAGTTAGGTATTTATTTTCAAAAAAAAAAAAAAAAATGACACTTTTTGAGCTCTGAACAATTTTTTTTTTCTAAATTTGAAACAATAAATGTGGCGTTATTCTTATCAAAAGAGCAGCGCTCCTTTAAAAGTTTATCGCATTTGTGAACACCAATAAATCTATGTTTATAGCTATTAACTATAGCTAATTCTTTATTTTTCTCAGATAAAATAATATGAATTTTATTACTAATTTATTTATTTTAATTTATAAAATTACATAGAATAAAATTTAAAAGTATTTACTTATAACTTTAACATAGAAATACGATCGTAATATACTTTTTAGGCTCGATCAGGTGACTAACGAGGCCAGATAAAATGTATACTGTAGATCAATGTTTCTAAACCTGAGGGTCGCTAACCTATGATTTAAATAAATATAAAAATTAAAAATGTCAAATAAAAAAAAAATAATAAAAAATAATACCAATAAATATTTTATAGAATTAACTTAACAAAGTTCCTGGTAGCATATTAATAAGACTTCTTTAGTCGTAGCATTGTAATCAAATTTGCAACTTTCATTTTTACTCCTCAGTAATTTTATTTAAAATCTATGTACTTCCGATTTTATTGAACAATCTATCTTTTTAAGTTCAAATGAAAACAACTTATACTTAAAAATCTATAGTTTCCATTTACAATATTGTGTATTACAAAATGTCTTTATTTAAATTTGTATTTATAATGTAACCCATGGTGTTTATTATACAAGTCACTGTTTTATTTTTTTTTTTTTTTGTAACTTACTAATTCTTCAATTAGTAAATAAAGAAATAGATATTTGTTCAATGTTAAAAATCTAATAACCCAATTATGAAGTACCACCGTAAACATTATTTTCTAATTTTACTTAATAATTTATATTTTAAATACTCTAAGCTAATAACATGTAATGTTGAAGCTTTAATCGAACAATAAAAACAAAAAAATGTTTCAAATATTTATTTTATAACTATAATTTAGATTTTTTGGATTTTAATAATTTTTATTTACAAAATCTAAGCGATATAAAAAAAACGATAAAGTAATAAATAAATTAAAAATTTGTCATACAATTTTTGACAATTATTTGATAGCTATAAGAGAACTTTTAACGTGTTTAATTTTCAGAACTCAACTTAAAATAAAATATATATTAACCAAATGTCAATATGAAACCACAAACAATAGATAACAATATGACAAATCACAAAATAACAACATTTAAGCACAATATATAAGAAGTCCTGGCGTTACAAACACAATCAAAAAACAAAATAGGTAATACAATTTTTAATATGGTAAAACAAATTAAATTAAACTTATTAAAAAATTAAAAACTAGAAGTTTTAAATTTTGATTAATCTAAATAATAATAACAAGACTATATCAGATATAATATAGTCAGTAACTATTAGTGATAAAACAAATATATAACTTTTATATCATTATTATTAAGGTTCGTTTAACATTTTCAGTTTTTATTTCTAAATAAATTTAAATAGATCTGTTTTCAAATTTGCATTGCATTATTTGATAAAAAAAAATAATCTAAAACGATAAGATTCGATAACTATATTTAATAAATACAGTTGAAATCATATTATACCAATTCAAAAATGTTGAAAGTTGTGTCTGATGTTTATGTTTTATTATCAATATTTAGAGTGCAGTAGTGTTATATTATTATGCATTTATGAATTAAGAATGTATACATATATATAACATATTAAATAAGCTTGACGTCTTATTCATTTATTTTGGATATTATAATAATAATAATAATTAAGTTTGTGTTGTAAAATAATTATGTATTCAAATTACATACAACAATACCTGCAAATAATTCAATATAAATGCACAAAAAATATGTACAACATCAAAAAGAAAATATTTGAAAGTTAGAACAGCGTTAATGACAGCTAGATTTCAGGTAAAAATTTCTCAAAATATCTATGCAATTGATTCTATGGAATAACGTAAAAAAAAAAAAGATTTATAAGCATCTGATAAGGTTTAATCACTGATGCTTTGACAATTTTATTTAAACGTAGCAGTTTTTGTTCATTTCTTGTAGTATACTGAGATGTACTCAGGTACTGTAACGGATATGTTAATTTTTAATTCGTTGTATTCGATGAAAACCTATTCTATGCAAAGATAGTCTATTTTTTTTTCTAATGCATTTATTTATTTTTAATTTCTAATAGATTTTATGAAAAAACGTTATTTATACTTATTATGCATCAACGACACCTTTTACTCCACTTTATGAACCGTCACTAAAGTATATATAAAATTATATGACAATTCATAACTTAATATCTTCAAAAGTTGATCATCACCGTGGTAATAAAAATCATGAAATGTATGACAATAGCCAACAGCATTTTTATTTATTGTTGTGTATGCCCAAAAGTCAGGTAGGTATTTACAATTATAATAATCCTAATAAATAAATAGAAGGGTTTACCTTGGAGAAATCGGAATAGATAAATCCTTGTTCAAGTCCAATGAACAACGACAGCGGGGCTATGAGCTGAAGTTTGGTGTTGCGGAATGCATCCCGGACGGCTGCAAACGAGCGAGCGCTATCCGATTTTCGTTTCTCAGATGCGGAGGCGTACACGAATAGTCTAATGCGGGTCATGAAAGTTGCGGTGACAGCCACGCCGACAAAACAACAACCAGCAAAGACGCTAGCCAACAGCTGCGTGGTTTTGCCTGTAAACATATTTAATGTAAAGCTCGTAATATTGATTTACTCCTTCAATATTTCAAAGACTTTTTATGGTTCTAACTATTTTATATTTTATGCGCAATTATCTATCTATATTTTTAGAATCAGATCGGAGCGCTGAATGTATTTATTTTATAATGTTATGTGAATGTGTGTGTGTGTGTCTGTTTTTATTATTTTTTTTTTTTTAATTTGTGTAAAGATACTTTTTTAGTAAGAATGTACCAATCTTCAACTTCGATTCAACCTACCGAACTATATTGTCAAATCACAGCTATAAAAATTAAAGATTTTATGAATTTTTAACTACTCGTAATTTGTTAAAAATTTGTCAAAATCTAAGTTTTAAATACATACAAAAAAATGTTATTTTTACATTTTTATATTTTTATATAAATATAAGTACAACTTGTGTAAAATATTTTATATTTAATTTTCAAATTTTACCCATTGATAAATTATTGACATTTTGTAAATAAAACATTTCAAAAATTTCAATTTTTTATAAATAGTTTGAAAAAAGTTGAAGTATTGTATCATGTATAGAAAATGATAGTATATAAATTTGATGAAAATTTAAAATTTCTACAGGTATTCTCTTTTAAATTACAATAAAACAACAAAAATTATTTAAGAAGAAATAATTATTTTAGGAATGAATATGAAATGTCGTGAAAATTTGAACTTTAAACATTCTTAAAAATTTGATTTGACTTTTTGGATTTTTGGTAGAAGTGTATTTTTATTTTAAATCGCAAAACTTGCATAGATATTGTATTTCTGACTTGCGAAAGGTTAAAAAAAACACGAACATTCATCAATACAAATTATTTATATCTTTTACTATAAAAATTAATAATTATCGAGTATACACAACGCACACAAAATAATAAAATCTCACAAATATATAATATCAACTCAAATGTTTGTTAAAAAGAAAAAATATTGCTGTTAAAATAATTGTATATTATATAGTTTAAAAACGAATTTGATTTCCAATAAATGCAGACCATACAATAAACCCATAGAGGAACTTGAAGTAAGCTAATTTATTTTAAAAAGTCTAGGATCAAACCCAAAAAATGAAAATGACATCACCAAATTCTACAAGGAAATCAAAGTGTTAGATTTACTATACAATCAAATGCCTAGTAAATAAAATGTTTATTAATATAAGTATTATCACAAAAAAAAAAAGAAATAACATTCATATTATCATATTATTTAAATAATATGTAGGTATTATTTATATTTGTATCTTAAAGTATTAAGTATAGATCGTATATTATAATTATGTAAAGCCAGCAAGTAAATAACATTAATAATCTTTAAAGTGTATTTATGCTTATGTATGATTATTGGTTAATGATTTAGTTGTCATATCTGAAACTTAATTTTCATGGTAAATAAAAAAAAATCTTATTTATACAGTGTTTCTATTATACAACTTTAAAAATCCCTGAATGATTTACAATTTAAAATCAGCTATGATAAAATATAAATGAATCATCAAATCACATTTTTAATTTAACAATGAATAGTTATTACTTATATGCCATATCTATATGACTATGTGATATATTTAATAAAGTTAATATGATATGATTCGAAATTAAAACTATAAATCAAGCATCATACATACACACACGAGTAAACTCGTATATTATACGAATATATTGAAGAACTTATAACAATGTGGTTTTCAATTTCATAAAGTTTTATGATAGCCATAATTACGTACTAGAACGCAAAAGTTTTAAAGATTTAAAAGCCTGAAACGTAATACAATATAATAAATCCAATAAATCAACAAATTATATCATTAGGACTACCTCATCTGCGGTCCAATTCAAATATGAAAATATATTCCGGCACCGAGGCAGTCTGTTGGTCATAGAAGTTCGTCAAAGCAAAATGAATAATACTCTAAACGTCGCACCTATATGCTACAATACAATAACTTAAAAAATTTTTGCGACACAATAAATGAGGAGTGTATGTGAAATATTGACATGGCCTCCATCATACTTATCAGTTATCAAATTTAATTTAAAATCCTGTTTTTTTGGTATCCAAACCTACGACGCATAAATCCGTAAAAATTAATGAAACGGTCAATGCAGTACACGTTTTTATATTGACTCCTGGATCCTTGCTATGGAGATATTTATACCTCAGCTATTGTATACGTAAATAATGATTGCACCTATGCTACTATAAGCTTACTATTTTTTGCCATTAATTTTACATGCATTCGTAAGTCATATTATTATACTTACATGGCAAGACCATGTGATTTCGGACGTCGATCAATGCGACTGTCTGGTTGGACGAAAAATTGGCAGCGATCCCGAGTTTGATTTCCACTGTATTTACCAGTGGGCAGGCGACGCTACCGCAAGTCCGATCTGTTCCAGGTCCATTGTCCCTGGCGAACATGGTCCCTAGAATGTCGTCCGTCCGCGTGCCACTTATCATATATGCGACGAATGCGTTTCCAGCGATCAATCCCATATCATGAGCAACCTGTATTGGCACAATAGTAAAAAATTGTATTTTATTTTATAACACTTGTGTAATCATATAAATATGACGTATTGTTATATTATCATATTTAATCATATTTCCTTGTTGTTGGCCTAGATACAATAATTATACTATATAATAATAAATTTAATTTGAGAGAAAATAGTTAAGGAAGTTTAAGTATACAAAATTTTACTTTTGTACTAAATATATATTTATGTAGGTATAGATAATATTTAACTTCTTAGAAAGAGAAATATTAACATTGCAACTAAAATTGACTAAATACAAATGCCCTTTCACCATGTTTGTGATAATATTTTATTGCCAGAATATTACACGAAATTTTGTCAGAGTAATAGTATACAATAATAATTTTTATTGTAATGTAAGCTCCATAGTATGGTATTAAAATCATTCTATAGAATGACTTTAAAATTTCTATTTTCTTTGTATTTGCTTCCGTTCACTATAAAAGAAAAATCCACTATCTAAAATAATCTAATTATTCATCTATTCTTCTTTCGGATAACCCAAGTCATTGTTTAAAACAAAATTGGCCACACAACCGTATAAACAACTAAAAATGTAATATATATATAATATATTTATATAAGTAAATGTAATCTATTTATTATTTTTTTTTGTATTCTCGCACCAAATTTGCTTTTACAGATTGTATATTTTAATATTTATTTATTCATTTTTACTAGGTAATATATTAGTAAGAATTTGATAAAAATATATCTTTTTATAATCTTAGTAATAAAATTAAAAATCTATACGTATTAAGAGACTTGACTTTAAAGTTTTGAATAATTTATATTATAAAATTATTGAATCACTGTTAACTATTTGATATTTACATAATACAAGGTTATACATAAGTCATTAACATTTTAAAAACCTGTGCTCGCTATTATTATTTTTAATGAGCAGTTGTTTTAAAATAGGAAAACGTCATGCAAATACGATACCAATAAAAGCGAGTCCTATTAAGAATTATTTTACAAATCAACTAATTATTATCATTGGTTTTATAAAAAATGAAGTTATATGCTGATTCAGAAATAAGATGAACTAGTTATTTTTACATATTTAATGTGGTATTTAATATAAAATAATTTTTATTTGAGATTGTGATAAAAATTGAAAAAATATTTTTCTATTTTATAATACCTCTGTGTATACTGTATAGCTATAAAATGATTTATAGCATCATACATAGAACACATTTGGATTTATTACAACTAAAAATAAATCTTAATTTAAACATAATATTAAACTATTTAAAAACAAATAAACTTTTAGATTGAAATCATTTTTTTTTTCGTTTGTTAAATACTTTTACTTTTAAACTTATATGAAGTAAGATGATTTTTAATCTTTACTAATCACTATAAAGTATAAGAATAACATTATATTAAGTAAAAATTTAATTTTGATAAAATTAATTAAAACTGCGCAAATAGTATTAAAACTTTATTCTATTACAAAATATAATAGGATTCGGAGTAAAAATAAACGTAAAAGTTTGAGTAAAACTTAGTTTAATCAAAAACCATTTTATTGTGTTGATAAGAAGAATTCACACTGACAGTTGAGTTATGTTCATTTCTCATACAATCCCACGCGTATATTAAACCAATTGTATTGGTTTTCAATCCTAACTTAAGTAATTAAAATGTTATTGTGTAGTCAACTAAAATATTACTTCACAAAAATTAAAAATTAAATCCTAAAGGTCATAGAAAATGTTTTATTACTTATATTTCATTACAGGTCAACGAGTACAATTATATCAATCCAAATAAATCTTTTTATTTTGATACTACGCAACTCGTTATTTTGCCATACAAAGTGTGTGAAATAAAGATAATAAAACCTTGCTCGCAGTTCGCTCAAATCAAATGAAAAAGCAATAAGAAACTGAGAAGCCTCCAGGTTGCTATATTGGAAAAAAGTAATCTGATGGACTATAAATTCAATAAACAAATAAATTTAAGTCGTAAAGTCACAATAAACATCAATACGGAAAAAAGTTATACTAATAAAGTTAATTTTGGAGAGTATTCCGAATGATAAAACAAACTGTAGAATAAAATTAAATTCGATTTCTAAAAAATTAAGATTATTGCTTTTATCATACTTTATGAGATATTTATTTTTTAAATGCATGTAAATTGTTAGTATAAATTTGCATTAAAACGTTAATATAATATAATCAATTTTTCTACAAAATAAATAGTTTGATTTATTTTTAAAACGAGTTTGCCTTTGGCCTAATAATATTTAATTAGTTATTTATTCGTACTATTTTTACAGCTTATATAGTTCAAAATATATACTCGTATTAATGTTATTACATAATATTTTTACTATCTATAGAAATATTATGTATTTAACATGTTGAATATTTGTCTAATTAAAATTCTAATTTTTTCTTAAGTATGTAGGTATAAAATATAGCTAAAAGTGCTTGTTTATAATATTCTATCTTTTATAAACTACGGTACCAATTATAAGGTATCATTTTAAAAATACAAATAAAAATATAAATAATATACAAACTACCTGCAATTTATTTTAAATAAAGTATACAATCTATAACATAATAAAAATAAAACATAAAATCTAACTAGTTAACTTTAAGTACATTCTTATTTCAACTTTATGTTTTTGATTTTTATAGACTACAATAGCTTACACTCAAACAATCGAATATCTTTGGGGCAGTGTTGGGAAATATTTAAATAAATTATCTAGATAGAATTGATTTATCTTTTATCTTATCCAGATAATTCTTAATTTATTTATATTTATCTTCATTTAGATGAAATTCTAGTTATCTATGAGTACCAATCTAGATAGTTTATTTTTATGGGTTAAAAAGAAAAATTAAAATTAAAAACAATATTTTTTTCAAATATAAATTTCTTTGTTTTATTAACTCAGAGATTGACTTATTATCTTCTAATAAAGTTTATTCGAAAAGTATCGTTTTTTATTTTTTCAAATTTAAGCTTTTTTGTATTGTTAAATTAGAGAATGACTTTTCATATGTTCTAATGGATAAACTATTTTATTTTATGTTTATATTTTAATATGTTTTAAATTATATATTTTTTACCTAATACTTGTACCTTTATCACTGAATACTTGCAAAATTAACGAAATTATCTGACATTTATCTAGATAAAAATATATTAATTTTTATCTTTATCTAAATAAAATATTAATTATCTATTCTCAACACTACTTTGGGGACATTGAAGTCCAAATAAAATATAAATGGTCCATCGTAATTTTATGACAAAAAGTTTTCAGGAAGGATAATTGGGTTATGATCATTCTGAATTAGCAGACTCTTACTAATTAAGTTGTGTTTAATAATATTATAAAAAATCATTAGTATTTGTGAGTAGTTCACTATAAGCGTGAGTCAAAATTGTATTGGTAGGTAGATCTCATACTCTGCTGGTGTTGCATCTAACCGTCTTGCAATACGTGGTTACGAGCATCTTACCTGGAGCCCTCTGGCCAAATTCCTGGCCACCGCCTCCCGCCGACCGTTGCCTTCGAGTTCGAACTCTTCTCGGTCGGATAGCACGTACGCCATTTTAGATGCAAGCGCCATAAGCACTGCAGTCCGGGATGCGGTCCAGCATCCTAACCAAGCACCCATTAGGAAGTAACCGGGTGCCAGTACCGTCACTTTTGGATACAGATGTACGATGACGAATGCAACAGATACTAGGTAACCGGCCACCAGACATGTCCTGGTGCCTAGCCGATGGACAGCCGTAGGCCCAAATAGCGCACTCATCGCTGCCATGCCAAACATTGCAGACAGTAAAACAGAGCCAATGTCCGTAGTAACTGTAGTAAACCCACCATTCTGCTTCAAATTGTCCGGCCACCACCAAGCGGATATGGAACCCTAAAATATTTTTAAACATGAATTTAAAGTATAAATTATATACCTCGGGGGCTTGTTTTGTGCAGGGATATTAGCTAAGAAGTTTTTTGTTTTTTAATTAAATGTGTTAATACCCTAAATGTTGGCAATTTGAAATACGAAAAATTATTATGAATGAGCGGTTATGATATGTAAATACGATAAATTGAATTGACAAGTACACAAATGCAGTTTTAGATAATTTAAGATATTGCTGCAAGAACCTTAGATAAGACATTTTGATAGTAAAATAAAAATTTAAAATTATCCTTAAAAAAAAAAAAAAAAAAAATAGGCGACATCAGTTCTTTTTAGTTTTTTTTATAAATTACTGTAAAATAATAATTTTAAACACAATAATTATGCTAATAACTTAATCTCAGTTGTTTATTAAACTAAATATATATTGTGGTTATCAGCTGTTTGCTATTTATATTTATCATTATAATTAATTACTTTAATATTATATTTTTTTCGTGGCTCATTAGTTGTTTCTTTTTATTTAAATATATTTTACTCTTTCACTCGTTATCTACAATAGTATACAAAGCGAAAAACAAACATGGCTCAAACCTTTCTTTAATACACATAAAAACGGCACCTATTAAATAATATTTCTACAGTATTAATTTTAAACAAATTTTCAAAAAAGGATCATGTATGTTTTCTTTTTAAAAATAAAAATAAAATATATTTATTTTGTTTTTAAATTTGATAGTATAATTTATTACGTTAAAAGGTTTATGTCAAAAGTGATAATCCCTACATCTATTATTCGGTCAGGCTAATTAATAATCATAGTGAAGTATATCAATAAAATATGACGCAAAAATCTAATCAGATTTTAAAAAATCCGTTAAAAATAATTCGAAGGGCAAAGCACTCCGCTATTATGTTTGGCATAAATCAATTTCCCCCTCCTTCCCTTCCCATTCAATTAGAATATCGGAATCGCGCTAACGAAACATATAATAGAAGAACCGCATCGAAATAAAGACCAAAATATGCGCATGTTGTTTTCGCGACGATATTGTTCGGCAGAATGTAAGGTATATTTACAACAATAATTTATTATATCATTATGTATACGATAATAATAATATAAATTGTATTCCAATATAATTCTCATAAATCGTAACACGACCACGCGCCACCGATACGTAAAAGCTCGATTTATTGAGTAATATTATACTTATATAGGTATAATGTATACAGAGTACACGTGATAACACGATATTTACGTATAATGATCCGCAGCAGCATTTCACTGGTATATTAAAACGCGAGCACAGAGACTATTGAAGTTTTTAATAATAATAACGCCGAACGTTGCGAAATCAAACGTGACTGTTCTTTTATATTAGTTGGTGATAAATATTATTGTTAACGAAACCGCCGATATCGACTGCGTTATTGTTGAACGCGCACCAATGCGGTTTTAGAAGATACCTCAGGGCAATAAATTTACAGAGAAACAGTAGATATATTATTAAAATAATATTGTCCTGCACACAATGTACATTGTACATTGTATGTCTGCGTTTAATGTGTCGTTATATTATAAAATACATTTTATCCTGGATCGTGATATCGACGTATTATTATTAAATTTTGTTTTGTACAAGTCTAGCATACAATAGCCAAACATTTTTGCGACACACGGCGCATGAATACCAGAACACTTTTAATACTATAATTTTAATATAGGTGCTCCCACTAAGCTGATTTAGCGAAATTTCGGATCAAATGTAAACTCCTACACGAATAACCTTTTTACCTGAATCATCATTAAATATAAACTCCTACACCAATAATTGTTTTACATTTTTACCTGTAAATCAAAGATACTGTAATCTCTAACATTTTTACCTAAAAAAAAAAATAGGGTAGTATTATTGAATTCACGATTTTGTAGTTGAAAAGTTTAAAAAGTTAAGAATTATCATAACTTTAAAATAATTAATATATAAAATACAAACACTTGAATAGAGCATTTGCAGTACAAAATGTTAATAGATCAGCGAAAGTAATTAGTATGGTATTAACACAACGCAAATAAACAAAATAATTTAAAAATATGGATTTATACTTATACACAAAAAAATAAAAATACACAACGAAAAATGTCAGTTTAAATTTTATCTTCTAAATATATCACACAAATAAACGTAAATTATTATGAGTTATGACCACTGTTTTATTAAATATTTAAAATTCTCAAACAATTTTTGTTTTAAATTTATACTTTTGTATAATATTATGCATTAATATATTGCAAGACTGATATATTTTTACAGTGGTACAAGCGGTATCCTTTTTTATCATATTTTGTAAGAGTTAACACTATCTTTTATAGGAATTAACACGATGTCTATGTAAGAGATTACATTACATTTGAAGAAGTTTATCATTCTTCAAATTTCGAGTGCTTTCATTCGTCGTAATACGAATAATCCCAGGTAATAAGTATATAATGTATATATTTATATATACAATATACCTAGTATGTATAAGACATGATTACGGAGATGATTAAATTATTATCAGTTCCTATGCATCTTAAATCTAAGAGTGTTTAGAATTAAGTAGATATTTTCAAACCCAAAACTAATAGGGTATTATTGCGTACCTATTTCAATATGCTTTTTGAGTTTCCAGATTTTTTTAAAACTGATAAAAATGACATAATTAATTGTTTTATATAGTGTAATTACACGAAATAAATAGATAAAAATAAATTACATGGGTAATGATTTTCAGCAAGTTCCGTTCATTATAAAAGGCATATCGTTTTATGTTATCATTACTTTGAACGGTTATCTAACGGTGATGATTATAGTATACTATCAGCTCTTGCACATCATAATGACGTATGGTAGGAATATCGAGCCCGAACCTAATATTCATATGTGCTATTGCGAATTCGAATATGTTTCATGGGTTTTTTGGCTGATAAAAAAAAAAAAAAAAAAAAAAAAACATTAAATTATAATATTGCATAGTATGCTAGTACGAAATAAATAGGTAACATAATTATTTTTTTGCGGGACCTCTACGTTCATTTTATACCTATGCCCCTTGGCTTCGAGATCCTACGTCGATTGTTATTGGTAATAATATCACGTGAATGCATTCAACACAATATTATTTATTACTTATTAAAAAAAATAGTACGCATTTTATACCTGTATTTTTTAAACCGATAAAACATAATCAAGATTTACTTTTAATGTAATTATTTTATAAACACGTTATAATACTTTTCAGATCACGAAGTACAAGTAAATAGTATTATAATATAAAAATAACTTTAACAAAAAAAAAAGGATAAAACTTCCGTTCATTAATCTTATTTTATATTTTCTAAGTCTCATGAGTCTTATTTAAAATGTAATTGTACCATAATAAGTTTCTTATCAAATTTTACTGAATCGTTATATCTTAATAAATTGTATCAAAACTTAACTGTAATATCTAAAATATCAAGAAAAATAAAATTAGTGAATTCTGTAGATATATATAAAATTAATAATGACTAATGAGTGTCATACTATAAGCATTGATAAATTATGTCTCAGAGAACTTAGTTCCAACAAAATCAAGATTAATTGCTGTTTTTAGATTTATAAATATAAATATAAGAAACTTGCCTAAAATAATAACTACAGGTAATAAATCATATCATCAAAAAATATATGTTATGAATATTATATACATTCAAGAATTGAGAAAATATGTTTTAATCAACAAATTCATTATACAACGTAAACAAGGTGATTGAATAAGTGCTTACATACACTATATTTAAGCAAATAATTAAATTGTGTAACTTTTTATTTATTTATATATATAGTAATTATTTTGATTTTTATTATTTGTAGTGTTTAATACAACATTCAATTTCAAACTTATACGGAATTTAAAACTTTTTTGAAATTGTTAGCTTAGAAAATATATTGATATAGAACCAAAATTATATCGTTAATCAAATATAATTATAATGAAAGTGTTAAATGTGTTGATGGACTAAAAAATAATTCTTAAAACCATAAAATAATCAACCTTTAGAACTTAACTTGAAATATTAGCAAAAAAAAAATCTGTTGATTTATATCCAATATTACTGTGTAATCAAATAAAAATGTTATGTTTTCAAAATTATATAGCTTTGAAAATAAAAGTTACATTAAAATAATAAGTCAAAATTACAAGAATCACAATGATAAAATATTTCAAACATAAGTATTATGAAAGTTCTATAAATATTAAATTAAGTAATTTTCCTTTATTATTATTATTATTATTATATTTATAATTTGGAAAAAATAGATATAACAATAAATTATGATTTGCTGCAACATAAAAAATTAACTTACTTCAAGTTTGGATATTTTTGTAATTACGTATTTTGTAAAACAACAAACAATAAATACATTTTTGCCATCATAATTATTTATTATTAATTTAACTTAAAATATAGGCTCATTATTAAACCAAAGTTTTTTATATTAGTTAATGATTAGGATCAAAAGATAAAGTATAACTTGTTTTAGTTGTCAGCAGCTATACGTACATAAATTTTAGAATTTTTGAGAAGTGAAGAACTTCTAATATTATGAAGAATAATGTATTATTATTTATTTTTTTTAGCTTTGTGTTGCATTACTTAAAAATATTACAAAAGTTTCATAATTTACCATACTTTATATCAAATATTACCACTGGCTCTGGTATCACATAATACACGGAGGTAAACTGAAAATAATAAGTCTACTATCTAATACATATTTTCAAATTATTGGTTTATTAGATAATTATTGATATTTATGGTTTTAAAAATAATATTAATACTACATTATATGCTGATATATAATAATGTAGTCTACACTCAAGACTTACGGCGTCATAATATTGGTTCTTATCAATTTAATACAATTAATCGACTTTGCATTGATTAACATAATAAATATTAATCAATTTCTTAGATTAAGATTCGCTCAAATTTTGATATTGAATATGTTTGAAAAGATATTTATAATTAAAATCTCAAAAATAAGCGTATATTATATTATATTTTTGTTTGTGTTGGTACATTTTATTTTTATTTAAATATATTTTATGAGGTAAGTCAGGTTATAAAAAATAAAAATTATTATAGTTTTGAAAATGTTTTATGGTAGCATTTCAAGGATAAAATTGCTTTTTTTAGGTAACACTGTTTTTGGTGAATTTTTAATACGACTGAAGTTATTAAGGAAGAGGAGAGAAATGTTAAATTCTTCAATTTCTTTTGATTACGGTATATTATCTATAAACATGCATTTATCTCTGAAACAATTTTACCCATGACTATTAAACAATTCTCGATGTCTTAAATTTTTATGAATAATGAAGCCAAATAAATATTTTATTAAATTTGCATTTACATTCTTTCAATGACTATAAAAAATAAAATAAAAAATGATTCAAGTTTATTGATTCATACCCGTAACACTGCTCGCGTTTATTTCCATTTTCTTTTTGAAGTTATTATACGTTACGAGTCGTCGAGAAATTTCAGAACAAATTACAAACACGAACGCTATATATATCAAACAATCCATCAGTGTTCTATAGAGTTTTACATATTGTATGTGGCAAAAATTGTGAGAATCTTGTGAAAAATACATTCTTCACAGATCTTATGAATAATTTTGAAATATAGAATAGACATAAATCTAAAAAAGGCATCAAATAAAATCATATATACATTTATTCAGTCAGGCTGTGATAAGAATCGTTTGTGTTTTTAGGAACATTTGAATCTAGAATCGACATAGTCATCAAAGCGAATTGAATCGATGATACATGAATACACTTTTGTCACACTGTTATTTACTATAATAATAGCATGTTTAGCATAATATTATATAAAATTATCGTTCTATTGTATGATAACCGCTGGTCAACGATTCGAATATTAGATAAATAAGAGCACAACGTACTTAATACAAATCTAAAATAGTATGAATGTGTTTATTTAAACCTTACTGCTCACTTTGTAATAAAAGAAAGATGTCTAAAAGGAAAAAAGTTATTATTCTAACATTACTTTTTTCTGTCTATTCTTGAACATCAAAAACACCTATTACAAATAAAACTAGTACGTGTTCAACATATTAAATTCTCATATTGCACTCATATTTCATTTTTATGGTACATTTAATTTAATTTATAATGAATCAAAATATTTTTCAATACATATTCAATAATATTTTATATTTTTAATTTTAATACTACTTGAATTCTAAATACCTAAAAGAATATTTTATATTTTATTCATTATGTTAGTAGTAATAACTTATTAATTTACTTCTATAGGTTAAAACATTAAAAGTAAACAAAAACTGTTTATTTTTAAATATATATAATAAAATGTGATCATATGAGATCAAAACACAAAATATATTTATAAGCTGAACTTTAATCGTAAATGTTTACTTCATTGCGTGAATCCATCTATTAAATTTATTTTGGAATAGAATTAGATCAAGAGACTTCACGATAGAATAAGAAAAAAAAAAACGATAAAACTTAATGTAACAACTAATGATGGTCTTACACTTTTATCATAGGCTATGATGGACACAATTTCGTCTGGTTCATATGAATACTCATTAATCCTTCGCTTTTATGTTTATCTTTTTTATATTTTTGTACAGTCTACTTACTACTACCTATATAATATCTTTGAAAATACGATTAAATATATTTGCAGTCACGAAAGAACATAATCTTAGTCTTTTTATGTTGGCTTGATATGAAAATAAATATAAAATAATTATTTACTTTAATTTACGTTGCAATTTTAAATGCATACATTATATTTTATTATGTTACTTGTATGATTGAATAATTAGTTATTTATTTGGCTTTCAATTATTCAATAATATTTCCAATAGCCAAACATGTTTATGATATCTAGTCATAAGAATTTAAAGTATTTAAAAGTTATTCAATAACAAAATACTTGCTAAAATGTATATAGTAGGGATATGTATATAAATGATTAGTTATCAAAACAATACTTCACTATTCAAAAAAAAAATAATAATATAAATGTATACAACTATTCCATCTTAATAGAATGGTGTTCATCATACTACCCGATTTGAGTAACCTAACTGTGAAACTATTCAAGATTTACTAAAATCACAGTTAAGTGGGTTGTGCATTAGATCTATTAAACATATCCTGTCAAGTTTACATCACTTAGTATTTTTGGATGTTAATTTACTGAAAAATTAATTACTGACCAAATCCAGAAGCTAACTCACATACATGTTAAAACAAAACTTTAATATTACAGCGCCATAAATCAATAACAATTATTATTAATAACAATAAAAATTGTAAAATGTAGTCTTACAATGTATTTATGTACTAATATCACCTATACACTACGCCGTACTAAAGATTGTTTAAAAAAATAAAATATAGCTACTACACCTACTACGGTTGAGTGTATGAAACTTTTAATTTATTAAGTATAGAATAAACATGTTCTGTTATTGTGGTTTAAAAATATTATTTTATTTTAAAACAATTCTAATATCAATATAACAACACATTTAAATCATATTTTGCATGGTAAAAAGTTTAAAGTTGCTTGTATAAAAATCTTTAATAATAATACAAGTATTCTAAAATAATTATAGTACAATATGATATAATATGAATAGATGAATGTATTAAGTGGAACAATAATTGAGTTCTTTAAGATTTTGTTACTTATCTGCGTATACACGACACAACTATTGAGATGGGTTAATTTATATAAATATAATACTACGTTAAAAAAATTATTATATTTAATTAGTGTTGAAAAATACGACATAAAAAACAAACTACTGCCTATTAAATATTAAAATTACAAATTATTATCTTATTTATTTACGTTTATTGAAAGCTCACAAGTGGTTTGTATTTTCAAGAGCACGTGCTATTCACTCGCTCTCATTAAAATCAATGAATAAACTCGAATACTAAAATTATGGAATAAACCTTTGTGTACCTATAAGTTCAATGCGAACAGCACATAATGTTATAATGATGGAATCGTTTTTTTTTTTTACTTTAAATTGCGTAGATAAACGTTATGATTCAACTCGTGTATCCTGTCATACGAAGCGCAGATATATTCTGTAAATTTGAATCGTAAAACGATCAAACATTTTGTATAGATATTAAATACATATACATATATATATACGTTGAAACAGTTCTTCGTGATGTACATCGCCCGACCCTGCAGCGACAGATAAAAAAAATAAAAAACCATAATAGAAAATATACGTCGCGATCTTGGAAAACAATCCCTCCCGCAGCCCCCGTTTTTCCCATCGGAATCTCGTGACGTACTTCGTTCGAACATATTTTGAGCGCGTAAACATTTATAATGTAAGGTACCGACCTGCAGTGCCATAAATGGAACCAAAGCGGCGGCCGCCGCGCCGTGTCCAAGGCACAGCGTGACGTAGTTCCGGCACAACAGCCTCCGACTGTACACAGGTCCCATGTTGGACGGGGTTGTTCGGACCACTTCGATGAGACGGCGCACCGACGAGGCCCCGGCCGAGCTGGACAGCGAGTCGCGTCTCTTGCCGCTCGTCGAAGACGTGTTGACGGCGTTCACCTGACGTTGTGTAGTGGACAACGTCGACCTGAGCGACGTCGGCGAAAACGGTTTCTGCAGCGTGTACGAAGTGTGCGTGAAAACAGTTAAAATCAAAACATGTGAGACACTGTTTATACGAAAACGCGAAACGTTTGGAGTGGACGTGGTTGCACATAGTATAATGTATTAATTGTATAACTGTTATACTATAACACCTGATAATAGTGCAAAAGACCCGCAAACTTTAAGCGGAAAACGTTTTAAGAGTAAATAATTCAGATCGGTGTCAATAACCAGCACGTTTTCATAGTATGTATATTGTATATAGGTACTTACAGATACATATTTATGTATAAAAACATAAACTTTTTTATATTTCAACAAAAATAATTATCAAAATATAGAATCAATATTTGAATTATTTTAATGAACAATTACAAATTTAATATTATTTATTCACATTTCGATTAAAAATATTTGTATTGAATATTATGCCATTATATTATCATTAATAAAATATTTTGTATATAACAATTGACTATAGTTTCATAATATTCCATATTGTTTTTGAACGTGGCAATCGTTAATGGATAGAAAATAATGGACTACCAAGAGAGAAAAATAGTTATTTTTCCACCGCAGTAAACACTTATAATATTAAAAATGGTTGAATAATATTTAGGTCTGTCAAAAAAAAAACATGATCGAATCTATATGGAAGCATGGATGTAATATAAAATATTTTGCGGTTTTAACCCTTATTATTTTATCGAACCTATAAACATTGACGTAAAATAGTATGACGTATTTTAATCTCAATGTTTAAAAAAAAGTGCGTGGTATTAAAATCCAGAAATTTAATACTATTTATTTAGTTATACATAACCCGAGAGAAATATATTTTTTTTAAGTTAATTTTGAAAACATCAGTTATTATGATTGGTATGGTTTCATACGTTACGTACTTGGCATAAAATTCATAATTACTCATTGAGTGACATTTCTTCAAAACCTCTAAAATTTGCCGAAAACCGATTATAATATCATGTGTTGATAACAAATTATGAATATGAAATTATTATTTAAATTTACCTATATGTGTGTGTGTGTGTATATTTAATATTAATTTAAATGATTTTTCTATGTTCATAAACTGTCACAGCTAAAAGGAATATTGCGTTTTAGATTTTCATAGTTGGTTTGGTTAATGAATGCTTTTAGTGCCTATTTTCGATAGGTACTTAATTTTTATGTTGTTATACTATTATATACAATATAAAAAAATCATTTAATGTATTCCTGGCAATCGCGATAATTCAGGAAATATTTACATTTTCCAGAAAATTTCTAAAATTCTTAGAGTTGTTAGGCAATGGCTAAAATATATGATTCATTATAAAATTATTATACTTCATTTAACTGTTAAAAAATTATTTAAATTATTTAAGCAACATAGACAATATATTATACTTGTAAGAACGTATTTTCACACAATTTTTATATTGTTATAATCTTTAATAAGATAAAGTTTAAGTTCGACTAGCTCACTCCATACATGTACTTATCTATTTTTTTTTATCTATTTTATTAACGACTTTCCGTGACATAAAATTCGTTAACGACATTCACGTGCTGACAGTTAATGCTATCGGATCTCGTATAGATACTGTATTATATGGTATTTAGATGTTGTGATTAGTCAATTTTTTTTTCAGTCTCATCCAATCTTCACGAGCAAACGTTGCGGGCCTGCAGAATACAAGTTATTACATTTTAAATTATTTTATTGTTTTATTTTATTGTTCTATAATTTTATCATATTTTATTAGGACTTTGAATGATTTTAAGTGAAATGCGCAAAAAAATGAGTTGATATAATTGTATCAGTATTTTGAAAAATCGTAATTGCAATAAAGCTTTCATGAATCAAAACGAATACATACTACGATTAAAAACAAAAATGCCATAGGTTTACATGTTATTTTAACCAAAAATGCGGTTATATCTGACGTTATAACTTACATGCATTAATAAAAATGTAGTAAAAACAATATGTACTTATAATACCTATAGCTTGTACATAATAAGTTTAAATAAATCCTAAAATAATTGTTTATAATATGAGTACTGATATTTTGACATTTATTAATTATATCTTGAGATTTGAAAAAACAAAATAAAAAATAAATTGGATTTAAATCCACCAAAACGTAATATTACAAGATATTGTAGTAGCTTTATACATTTATAATATTTTTATAGTAATAAAAACTTGACATAAAATATATAATACGTATAAGATTCCTAATAGTTCATTTGATTTATTTTTTTTTTGCTAAGATTCTTATGGATATTAAATTTTGTTTAACATACGTAGGTACATAATATGTAAAATATGTGTACACATATTGTATATGTACTAGATTTATATTATGTTAGCATTAAAGTTTTTATGTTCGATGATAGTAAACTAATAAACAATGTCAAGTTTAATTCAAAAAAACTGAACAAGAATTGTAACATTTTTATTGAATAAAATAAAATAACATAGTATGTTCAATAAACACAAGCCAAAATGCAATAAAATATAAAAGTTAGAATTTTAATAACCAGTTTTGATGAAAATCGTTCAAATATGATTTCAAATCGATGAAATAACTTCATTTGAATCATCTCAAATTCAATAACTACAAATTTAAAGTAAACAAGCGCCCATTAGTAATATTAAATTAGATTTCTGTGGAATAAGTAATCTGTTTTATATTTGTTATTTTATTATGGAGAAATAATTTGATCTTCTATTAAAACCAACAACCATCATCTTTATAATAAGTTTAGTATTACTAAAATTCTGATTATGCATACTATAGGTATGTGCGAAAAATGCGAAATAAACTGATAAATTGAAACCTGCAAGTTCAAATGACAAAATACAAAACATTACAAATGATCAACGAATCAAATATTTAAATCGCAGCAAATTGATATATAATTCAACTGGAAATAAATAAAATATACGTCTATATTTTTCAGAAATACAGTCTACAAGAATAAAAACTTATTACGTACGCTTAGCACTCGGTTGTAATGATTGTACCTACAATGATATCCATACTTATATATACTATAACGATGGTTCGGGTCTAATTGAATTCCAAAATAGCAATATGAAATTTTATTTACAGCAAATATGTTGGTATTATATTATAAAAATAATCTTGTAGGTCACTGTTTATTTAAACATAAAATATTATTATTTCAAAAACATAAATTAAAAAAAAGAAAGAAAAGTGATATATTTTAATTACAACAGTTTTTGTACACTTGACACTTGTATACACTTGTGCATTATTTACTGTTATAAACTTTATATGAATATATTAATATTATTACATTTACTGAGGTTTAAGGGTATACACGTGAGCCGTGTAGGTAACAAAAGTTGACATAATAATATAATTTACATAAAATAACTTACAGCGCACTATTAACTTAGGAATAATATAATGCATTTACTATATACATATTATACTATGCAAATTATATTATTGTACAACTGATATATGCCTACTAACAGTTTAATGATGTATCTAGTCATGAAACCACGAATTGAGGAATCAATCAAGGCTATAATTAAATAGGCTTAACTATATTACAATAAGCACAGTATAATAAATGTTAATATAGAGTATATCTTCGAATTTCAGTGTCTAGATTACCATATGCCCGCTTTGCTTTCCCCAAGGACAACTAGCTGTCAGGTCAACTTATATTATTAGAAGTAGACTATTTGTATCATGGTTTTTGTAATAATGTGATATTATATATTACAGTGATGTCATTGAAGGATCATTTTACTCAAAATTTTGTATTTATTCAGGTGGAACGACAAAATGACCACAGGATCGTTTGGTAACTACTAAATACTCTAATCTTATTAACGGTATATTCAGCTGAATAGTACATAAAGTTCTTAAAATGTTATCAAAGAATTTTATTAGAGAATTGAATCATTATTTTAAAACTGAAAAAAAAGTACTTGTATCACAGAAGAAAAACAGTTTGTAGTATTCATTAAGGAATTTAAATGTAAAACTTGGTGTATAAATATTTCATGTTCAATCGTGATGCGTATAAGAGAGGTTTCTTATTAAAATTGAAAAATAATCATAAATATTGTAAATTTTGTATAATATATTTTTGATATTATACTGCACAGTACTTAAAAGTTTAAATTGTATTATATAGAACGCCCAACGCTATACAAAGTCATGATTATGTGTTTACGCGAATGTTTTGACAGGTAGTAAATATTAGTGGTAAATATATTTTTATTTTACCCAATCAACTGAGATATTCAAACCACCTCACCATTAATTAAAATTACTACGGTTAAAACAGATTAAAGCTGAAAATTAACCAGTTTCTATAACAATTAACAACTATTCGATGATAAATAACAAAAGTAATTTATTCTGTCCATCATAGTTTAACGAATGGTTTAATTATCAAACTCTAATATAAATTCTTATAATTAACTTAGATCATTTTAGTTAATTCCATACTGATAATTCATCATAGATGTTAAATGTGAAATTTTAAGAAAAATGAAAATTACGTCAGGAGTATTATTACTACAATAAAGTTTTTATAATTTTTGAATAAATTATCAAACAATTATATCGATAATAATAAAAATTACGATTTTAAGAATAATACCAATAGCTATTTACGTTTAATTATGATATTATTATAATTCCTTGTCTGTTATATGACTAATATGGTAATAAACAATAATATGATAAATGTTATCACACCATCATATTATTGCACTTTCAATCGAGTTATCATAACCATTCTGAAAATCCAATTCAATTTCACAAATGGATTTCAAATGTGTGTAATGTATATAAGCGTACAATATTAAGCTTGCTCTAACGTTTGTAATGTTTGTTTGCACAGTAGTCAGTAAGACTGTAATATACATTTTACAATATACATTTTATTATATTCATGATTAAACTTATACATAATGACACGTTAGTGTAAATATTATAATAAATATTTATTTTTATTGAACAATATAAACAAATTTCAGTGAAAATTAATGCTGCAGATAAATGAATTAAACTGAGCAAGCAATATTTTATATTTGTACGCAAGATAAAATTACTATTAAGGTGAACTAGATGAACTTAGGTTTATTTCATAAGCATTTACATAAAATTAAACAATTTAATCACAAAACTATAGATTTTGTAACACCTTACGATAAATTATCTGAGTTTGAGTCTTTATACTATGTTCTGTAAGTATAAGTAGTATCATATATTATACTTAAATGCTACCGGAAAAATTCAGAAATGTCCGGGAAAAACACTAAGCGCTCAGGGTATTTAAAGTAAAACGCCATGTCGTATCGTTATTCGTCAACATAAATCGAGAAAATGTTTAGGCTATAGCATCTACCAGCTGTAATAAATGTAGGTACTTACTTCGTAATGCATCAGTTTTTATTGATACTTCTTTTGGAACAACTTAAAATTAATTTAGAGATATCTTGTGTAACGTATGATATTGATGCTTGTCTAAAACCAAAGTTTTTAACACGTTCTTACACAAATTGAATGATTATACAACAGAGTAAGATTATATTTTTAAAAAATATTCAAGAAATAATACCCAATACACTTTTTTATAATAATTTATAAACACAAATAAATTACTATTAACAAATACTTTAAAATTTTGATAGGATTAAACAAACATCAATTTTAACGTTACGTCTCAAACAAAACCTATAGTAATTTCAAACAATTAAAATCCAAAAGTATACGCGTAGGACTTCTTAAAGCAAATAGTGAGTTGAAAGACAGGAATTAAAAATTATACACGATTGCTAGAAGAACGTTGAAAATTTTCAATTTATTTTTTTGTTTTCATCAACAATATATTTTATCCAACTATATAAGGCAATAAAGCCTGGTTGAA